TCTCGAGCTCACAATTTCATTCGTGCTTTGGGATTTCAGCATCATTAGAAGCAGATTGAGACAATAAAATTCTCTAAAAGCGGAGGTATTGTTTGCAAGACAAGCGTGGTGGACGAACATACAACGGTGAAGGCGATGATTGATGGTGACAGTCCTCGGACGACGAACAGTGTGTCGGGATCGACATGGTCGTGGATGACTGTCGCAAATTGGGCAGACACAACGGACAGTTTTGGGCTGGACCGTCAGTAAAATTCTGTACTGAAAATTTCATCCATTGGAAAAATTTTGTTCATCAAAAGAAATATTTTGTTTGTATAAATTCCATTCATGAAAATCTTTGTGAAATATAGGCAAATTGGATATAGTTAGAAAGCTTTTTACGTGATTAGTGCATTTAGACCATTTTTAAGAGCTGAAATATTACTTAGAAGGAGAAAATTGTTCCAGAAGCTGCTACTATCTCTAGTTTTTTTTGAATGGAGATGGCCATGGTACAAGTCGGGGAATCAGGATTTAGAAGGACGAGATTACTTGCTTTGGCAAATATAGTGTTACAGATTATGGGATTTAGTAGCCTCTAAGGTTCTTGTCAGTATGTTTTTTTTCCATTGAGGCCTAGATCATTGAAAGAGATGAAAAGTTCCTAGGCTCTCTGTACTAACAAGGAAAATATCCACTCATTGATATGATCGTGGGAGAGTTTGATCATTATATGATTATTGATCAAGAAGTAGTATCAGTATTGATGAAATTTTGACCACGTGATTGAGTTAGTCAAGATTGACGGTAAACTCAATCTAGTTGATGCGTTGATCAAAGTTAATACTGTGGAGAGTTTCAGACGACATTGTGCTACTATGCATATTTTGCATGGGGAGCAAAAGTAAAGTTTGCTAGAATAGTATCTTCAATTATCTATTTATATGATTATTCTATCGTATTACAACTAAGGCTTTGTTCTAGTTAACTTTCGTTTAAAGAGGGATCTTGTATTAGGTTCTGTCTAGACCTTCCTGCGGTGTAATTATATAGGTCACGATTTTTCTATTTCCTCTATGCTAGCAGATTTTTAGTTAACTTTATGTTATTACTTTATCTTCTTATGGTTACGGCTTAGTTCTAGGTCATTTTCTTGCAAAGAGTGTATCTGCGTTAGGTTGCCGTCTAGAACTTCACGTAGAGTAATAATATAGGTATAGAGGTTACTGTTTGCTCTACACGAGTCAAGGGGGAGATTGTTGACGTTAACTCTTGTTAAGGAGTAATCTCATGTTCTAACTATATATATCTAGGTTGGTCATTGATTGGTGTTGGGTATATATATCCAGAGTTTGTGTACTACTAGATAGAACGTTCAGTATACTATCACGATGCTTTTTCCCTCGTGAACGTAAGTCTTGAGGATGAATCACATTATACGATAATGTCTCTTGTGTTGATGTCTTGGCTAGGTTGAATGTGTCGATGTGTTTTTTGTGTTTTATGTTTACAAAAATTAATGGTTAAAAAATAGTGTGTTTTGAGTAATTGTATATTATTAAAAGTTTTTGGTATGAAAATTAAAATAATAATCACAATGCAATATTTGTAAAATAAATATTTCAAAAAAAAAAATTTCAAAAAAAAATTTTATTTCTTTGACGTAATTTTGCAGTAGCATGGCGAACAGTTCAAATTGAATACAAAAAAATTTTATTGTAAAATGTGATAACATTGCTTGAAATTTAAGGTGTACCATTAAAACAATTATTATTTGATTTATTTTGATTTATTCAATCAATTATAATATTTCAAAACCATTATTTGAATTGTATTACATATGATCTATAATATAAAGTTAACAATTTATTTGATAAAAATGAAAAATTTAATTATTTAATTATAAAAATAAAAAAGTGAATAAATTTTTTATATAAATACAATATATTTATATTAATTCAAAAATATATACTTCACCATGGTACTGACGTCTAAATTGTATCAATTGTTGTGTATGTCTATACTTTTGTTTTACTTTATCACATGTTTTCATTTTCAGCACTACTTTTTTATAATTTCATTCAAGAACTTTTGAATTTAATATTTCAAAAGAGACAATTTTTTCAAACATCTATAAATTTGAATTGATTTCATGTTTTTTGGACTCTATCAAACATTTGAAGCTTAACAAATTCAATATTTTTCATAAAAATAAATTTTTTATACTAAAAAAATAAACAAAAATTCTTTACTCTAATAATGTGATAACAAATAAAAATTATTCAAAATTCACATATCAACGATATTCTTTGATAAATTTCATGAACATAATTCTAGCATCATAATCCATTGGAAAACAAATCATCCATCTCTAAATCAAAATCTTGAGTCACATTGGCTAAAGATGAATTAGATGCTTTGATATTCATAGAAAAATACTTCTTGATGTGATCACTCTTTAGAAAAAACTATTATTTTTTCCCTAAAGATTTATTCCTTCACTTGCATATAATTCTAAACCTAAGACTCTTGTCATTTTTATCATTACTTAAAAATGATCAAATTTGAATAACATTCATTTCCGTACTAGATGAAAAGTATGAAAGAGATGAGATCATCATTTTTTGCTATAAGTCACCAGTCAACAAATCACTTACAACTTTGTTGTAAGTGCACACACGTGACAATGATTAATAGATGAATACAATGGGCTTAAATGACAAAAGACTTCTTTCATCATATATCTTTTTTTTTAAGATTACAAAATATCATTGACAATATCATCAAAAATATTAATGTGATTTTGGATCTTTAATCATATTCTTTTACATGAAATTTATTAGTCTCAATAATTCATAGAATCTATTTGACAATCTTTTGCAATGAAATTGTTACTTATGAATTTCAAACAACACAATACAATCATCATAATCATACTTTTCTTTAAAATCTAAAGGTTTAAAATAAAATTGACAATATTCACAATCTGTTCATATAAGTTATCGTAGGTGAACTATTTTGGCCTCAATGTTTTGCCTAGATCCATCGTCTTCAGCTTGACTTTGACTTGTCTCTTTTAAACAGATAGTTATCATATTCATCATATTTGATTATGTTATATCTAGCTTCATCAGATGTCACATATCATCTTGTTCTGCCAAAAATTTAGATTTGTGACTTTCACATATGTTTGCATGAAACTTTTGTTCTCTTATGTGAAAACATCAAGGTTAATTTATAAAATTTAGAGTTTAGCTCTTAGAGATTGAAGAACTGCAGTTCAATCTCTTCAACCGCACGTAAGATTGTCTCAAATTAGTGTAGTGGAATGTCTTCCTCTTCTTTGATTCTCTACCGCCCAACTTTTAATCTTTGCATGACTTGTCGTTATCTAGATCTGATTTTATCTCATTATGTGACTATTTTACTGCAAATATCTAGAAAAAAGGTTATATAATCAAAACTAAGCCATAGTCAAAATATGATAGAGTAGATGTAATGAAATTGCTCGTAAATTCTACTTGTGCTCCTCATGTAAAACCTATAAAGTAACAATCTCCATTATGTATGGAAAGAGTAGGATGAGGGATAATTAGCATAAACTGCCGGGATTAGAAGGAATCTAGGATAATTAACATAAACTGAGGTATAACTATCCGTTTTTTAAATATACTGATTTTATAACCTAGATGTTGTTACCTCATGAAACAAACTACAATTACTAGGAATAGAATGCGTGTAAATTCAAGTTACATCTCATATACTATACTCTAATAATTATGATAATTTGAATATCGTGGCAAAGTCTTTATTTTTCTGTTCATTATTTTCTCATTTATAGTTGTAGAACTTTGTGAGATCATTGTATACTTTTTGCTATTCACTTGAAGACTTAATATTGACTTAGATAAAATACAAGCTATCTACGTTGTCTTCAAGATGTGGTTAGTGTTTTGGAAAGAATGCATATACTGCTACATCACCTGGAAAGAAAGTTGCATTGCATATAATTCAAGTTAAATCATAGCTTTACTTGGTTAGAAAGATCATTGACACTTGTAACAATGTGAAATCAGATCCCACATTTGACAAGTTATAAGAGATGACAATCCATTTTATTATGTGGATAACCCGGTCAACAAATACTTAGACTTATAAAATTAGTATGATATCAATCATGAACCAACGTACATTTTATAGAGAATACATGAGAGTTTAGCATACTAATTGGAATGATTGTCATTGACTTTAATCGATTAGATAATCTATCATAGGCCATATAAAATATCAGAGGATTATTCCAAAGTAGAGTAATCATGTTAGTAGAGACTTATTTACGATACTCATATTGTCCTTAATGGTTTGATTCAAAAAGTGTAATTTTTTAAAGTAGAATAAAATATTCAAATCATGAAGATGTTGGCAACAACCAAGCTTAAACAGTTTAGTTTCATATAAAAAAAAGAGCTATTATTCTTCAGCCCATTATGTCGGCTATTTTTCTTTCTACTTCACTCTCGTCTCGGGATGGTACCCTGAGAGAATTCTATTGCAATCATGCTCCCGTTCAACATATGGTGTTGAGTAATCAGAATGCAAAGAGAGTTCATAACAAAACAATATGCTTCATTTCGAAAACTTATGCTTAATTTATGCCTCATACTTATATGAAGAGTCCACAAACAAAGTCCAGCCAGTGAGGTGCGGATGCATCGATCCCTTGGATCTCTTGAGAATCTTGTGGATATGGAACACCAAATGCGCAAGCAAGTTACCAACAAGACGAAGGACCGAGAGAACCACGGCAGGAAACCCGCAGTCCCATCCTAAGCTCAGATGCCAGATGAAGCCAGCATTCGCTGCCAAGGCCGTAACAGTAAGAGAGGCAGAGAGAGGCTCCAAACTCCGTCTACAGAAGATCGGCCTTGTGCAGGCCGGAAAAGCCCATAACCGTAAGAGAGGGCCCGGCGGACAGCCGTAACGACAGAAGAGGTGCGCTCACTGTCGAGCGGAGGAACACGAGGAGACGAGGATTCGAGCTCAGAGTGCACGCACGCGCCTCGTGAGCTTCGTTCATCAGCGTCGTCATCCGCATCGCTGTCGCTGTCGGAATGCTTCGCCGCGTGCATGAGCGGGCCCTCGTCTCGTCTCGCAGCTGCCGATGTGAATTTGAGCGAGCCTTCGACTTCGACTTCGACTTCGATTTCGAGTTTTCCTGCCGGGTGCGCTGCGCGTTTTGGTCTCTTCCGAGTCGCGTCACGACGTTTGCTGCAGTCTGAGCATGTCGCAATCTCGCCACCTCTCTCCCAAAAGCCGGGCTCGATTTGGTATACTTCTAGTTCCTCTTGACGCTAATTTGGTCAATAATTGGCCTGTTTCTTGGCCGGAAGGAGCGATTTTTATATTTTCTCTTTGCGTTTGCATGGGAGCCGGGGAGTTGAGATGAATTCGAGTTCAGGGTTTACAGTGTTCCGTTGCTCGTTGTCTGCGCTCCATAGACTACTTATGGAGAAGGAGATCGGAGGATAAGAAAATAATGCTGCAGATGTCTATACTCGTGTTCTCGATTCATCGGAGTGCGGAGTGGAGTCCACTTGTACGCCCAATTAAATTTTTGTACGAATTTCACAATCCACAGCGTTTTACCGCAGGGAGTTCGGAGTAGAGATTGCAACTAATTGTGCGCAGAGCGAGGAGCAGGAGCAGGAGCAGGAGGAGCAGGCTGTTTCTGAATATTCATTTGGTAGCTAACGTTGCTTGTTTCTTCAACCCCCTATCGATGTTTGCTGGTGAGAATTTGATTCGATGGACGAATGGGACACCGTTTTCGAGAATGTTGCTATCTTGGTGTAACTGCCTGAGTGGCATCTGTGTATAGAAATTTGAGTCGTATTTTCGCTGTTCTTTTTTCGTAGATCATATTTGAATTGGTTATGCTGCTTGTAAGAATAATTTACCAAGGATCAGCTAGTTTAGAATTCTGCACTTCCTTCTGATTCAAGGAAGTTTGCGCTGATGATGCACATTCCATTTACAGGGTTTGTTACAGATTGTATCAGTAGATCCTGCAATCTACGCAGAATTGTGATGATAAAGAGATCGGAAGGAAGTAATCGGTTTTATATTCGGCACGAATTATAAGAGTGGTGGTAACCATGCCGCGCTGAGGAAGAGATGGCTGATAGCGACGCTGGGTTTGTGCTCGATGAAGCATCGGGCCTCTACTGTCATGCCGGGTTAGTACTCATTGAATTCCTCATTCAGAAGTGTGCTAAAGTATGTATAATTATGGTGTCCAAAAGGGATGGATCGGAAAGATCGATATGAACCGATTTGGCGCTGCTGATTAGTGGCACAATCAGCTTGGTGTCAAACGTGCAAATTGAGGGGCTGGAAGGAAGTTGACAACACACCGCAATTTCATGTTTATCTTCCCTACTCTTTAGTCGCCTCAAGTGTTTCTTACGTCCTCTTAGAGCCCGTCTGACTAGAGTGGACGGTGCTACTTTTTCAGGCTAATACTTATGAGCACAGTTTGTTCAAAAGGACCTTTCTGTGGAATACTTCATGATTTGCCCCCCTTGGTATTGTAAGGAGAGTCAAAATTGGGTTATGCTGTTGCTTTTCTAGAAAATATTCCTGACCGGAGATTTAATGTTGCAGTTCAGGATTCTACCATGATCCTAATGCAGGTTGGTATTACAACACTCGTGATGGGGTTTACTATACCTTCGAAGATGGAGCTTACATTCCTATGTCCTCGACCAATATTACGGAAGGTGCGACTTCAGAGTCACAAAGTAGTCCATCGAAAGAAGTACTTGGATTGGTGAACTCCAATGGAACGGAGAAGATTTTACCGACCGTTGAAGAAACCGGATCTTGTAAGAGTGATCCAAAATTTGACTCGACTTCAAATGAGGATTGTGGTAAGGTACAAAATGATGAGAATATTGACAGTGCACAATTAGATCCTGAAACAGGGTTTCCATTGGCAAACGAATACCCTCTCTGGTATTTCGATACTGTGAGATCAATATATTGGTATTTTGACAAGGACTCTTGTGCATACTACATGTATCATGGAGAGGATAACTGCTCAGGAACTGTGTCACGGTCCGATCAAAGTGCAACCGGAACTATATGCCCAGAGGAGCAACATATTGAGAAAGGTGTACTGAACCTCTCAGACTTGAATGTTTCATTGCTTATTCTGTTTTGAATTGTATGACCAGTTTAGTTCTGTTCGAGTGAGATGGTAGATCTACGAAGCAAATTTGATTAGTAACGTCAAAAGTGCGATAGAGATGTGAACACAATCTGTGCCTCGTTAGTTGGACATGTAGAAGCCTCAGGGCTGCAGATCACCAACATCCCTCGAAGTAGACCTCTGAGTCCTAGTTATGGCTGCATTGAGTAGCAACCTTATCCACATATAGCTTCAGCATCCACGTTTGGATCCTCTTCGGCGTCCCTGTCTAGAACTCTCTCCTTACTTTTGACGTTGGTTTAGGCCGTCTGAGTGTATACAGGGAGATTGTTAGACCATCGTTTTTTTAAAGTCCGAGCCCTCTTATTTAAATTTCTTAATACCTTCACAAGCGATTATTACCGCCAATAGCCCCTTCAGGCTCATCAGCAAGCACTTTCAGTTGGATTACAGCCGAGTGATTTCCTGTTGAACATTCTTGATGGAAGTTATTACTTGAACTTTATGGGCTTGCTTGGGTTACTCATAGGGATTGCTTCTGGATGAAATCAATGATCACACCATGTTTCTCACATGTTGCTTGCCACTTTCAGGGCACATTCCGTATGTTACGAGGCCTGAAAGTGTGGAAGGACTTGAGACTCAGCAGCTCAGTCATGAGGAGGAGAACGGTGAAGAATATCAACCCACTTCTGGATGGTATGTGTGATGTATGCTATATGACATTTATGTCATGCGATTTCTGAATGAGCTCTCCTGGATAATTAGTATAAAATTCTGAGGTCTAAGATCACTGCGGGACTAGATAAGTCAACACGTGCAGGGATAAAATAGACACTTTGGGATCTTTTGCGGTTTGTTCAGAAAGTGGAAAGTACATGGTTGCTTTCATGTCCTTTTTCTTGAACTGGTTCATTGCGTTAAACATTCCTTCCTTTTCCGCTTGTTGTCCTTTTTAGAGACCTACATCAAACTCAGTGTTGATTTATTTTATCAGGGTTGAAGAAGCTCTGATAGATCTCTACCTGAAAGGCTATCCTCAGGAGTCCTCAGTTGAGGACGATGGACCGTGGATCACATCTGCCGATATATTTACAGAGACTACTGAGAACGGTTCATATCATGCCAACGTCGACATTGTGGGATCTTCGTTTTATGATGGTAGTAGTACCGTGAAGTACGATGACCAGATTTGGTCTAGAAATCATAACTATGATATGCAAGGGTCGCAAGCGCATTTCAACGACTCTGACAACGATGGAAGTGAAGAGTTGGAAGAAGGAGAATGGGTTCCCGATGAACCTCTTAGGATAGTAGATGGCGAGGAGGGTGAAGCTCGTACACTCCATACAGATACTATGGACAATGAAGTTTCTCATGGCAGGTTTCCTTCTCAAACACAAGCTTCAAGTGATGAGTGTGACAATCAATATGAACAATCTCATGGCTCCAATCATGAGAACGGAGAAACAGGCCATTATGACGAAGCAGATGACTTGGATATGGAGGAAGGTGAAATAAGCTTGGCAGATGAGATAAGCTCGCTAGATGAACAGAAAAAGGAGGAGGAAAAGTGGCATGCTCAATATGGGCAAGTTGTGAGGGAGAAATCTCGCGATTATATGATACCAGGCGCAGTCGATTTATGGGACTGGATAATTCTTGACAAAGAGTCTAAGGCATCCAAGCAGGGCAAATCAAAGAAGCAGCTAGTAGGCAGGATAGTCTCGTCTGTGACCAGGTTACATCCTTCACTTAGTGGGAGCAGTGGTCTTATACGCACAAGTGCCATCAAAGCCGCAGAGCTTGACTACGTGAAAGTCTCGTCAGGTACTTCTCTCATTTGTATCTGAAGCTTTGGATTCGATCGTCTGTTGGAGACATTCTTCAAGTTTCAAAGTTGGTCTAGATTAGGGACATCCTTCAATCTCTTGTCTAAAAGCGGGCATCGTTCTTTCTCAGGTAAAATCTACCGTTTACGTCGGCCAAGTAGAAAGCATGTGGCATCAGCCGGGAATTACGATTCTTCGAATCCAACCAAAGGCCTGGGATTTCCTGCCCTTGGACTTGCTGCTTTGGACACTCCGAATGAGAACGCCACTGGTGATCTCACTGTTGCACGTGAACCATCCAAGGGTCGTGCAGATTCCTTAGTATCAAAGCCGTTCGTTCCAAACACTGGTCACTGGCGCTTTCAACGCCTTCTTCCTACAAAAGTAATACTTCTATCTGTTATAAAAACTATATACCGCCAGCATTGGTTCTCAGACGTTTCTGTTTCTTTTAAAAGAGACAGTCTAAAGATTTTCATGCATTTTCGTTTATAGCGGACGTATTGCAGAGTCGATTGCATCTGATGGAATTGTGTGATACGCAGAAAGGACGAGGAGTGCCTGCTGCTCTCCTCGCTTCTAAGCATCTATCTCCGGAAGAAATGATGATCAATGAGCAGGTGAGGCATTCACCTGCTCAGCTTTTCATTTTGTCTTGAAAGCACATTTAGCATAGGCGTAGCTTTATCACGAATTTTGGGGGAGGCTGTGGTTGCAATGAGGTGGAGTTATGCATCATAGTTCCTACAGAGATTGTACACCGTTAGTGACGGTTGTGACAAGGCTTAGTTCTCTAGTCAGTCGACTAATTACTGAATATGATGATGCAGAGAAAACAGAGATATCGAGACCGAGCTGCAGAACGCAGGCACTTGCACGGTGGATTTGGAGTAGGACCAGGCCAGAGAGGAGTTTCCGTCCTTGAGGAAGAGAGGTTGGAGGCCGATGAGGCCATTGGGATGGTGGGAGCTTTGGAGAAGGCGGCTGTTGCACCTCCGATAGGCAGAGAGAATGTGGGAAAGCGGATGCTGGAAGGCATGGGCTGGAAGGAGGTTCGTCGTTGTAGTTCAGTCACCTCTTTTTCCACGTCGGATTGCAATAGCATGAATGAAAGTTCTATGCTTTGTGCACTGTTGGCCTCTTAAGATAGACTGAGAACTTGAACGTTATTTCTCACGTCTAAGGATGACTCTTCCAACTGCAGGGACAAACGCTAGGGGTGGAAGGCGGTTTGGTCAACCCGTTACAAGCGCAAGGCAATGTTGGGCGTGCTGGTCTTGGATGGGGTTGAAAACTGTGCTTCTCAACAGAGCATTTATAGTCCGGGATTTGACCTTTTCACACAGGAAAAGGAACACGGTACGTATAGTACAGTCTGTAGGTTACCATCTCTCCCAATACTTGGTTGGGAAAATAGGAAACCGCACTATTTGCTGCAATTGAAATGCCTTTCATTTACTGCCATCATTACACACTTTGATTCACTTAACTAAGGAGCATACCTTGAAATTCGATGAAAGTTGAGCCAATGAATCTGGTATATGACGATGACAAGGTTTTCCTATTTTGATAAATTGCAGGTCTTTTTGGGTTGACAACTCAAGATGAACAAACAACGCAGATGTGTCAAGTTTCCATTGAGTTTCTTCACAAACGGGTCCTTACTACAGGTGAGCTTTCTAATGGGCATCAAAGATAGACTTTAAAGTTTTCACTTACTCCAGATTAAAATACTAGAACATCACCGCTTGAATAACAGGTCATATATCCTTACTAGATTTGACATGTGGACAGATGCCACAGTCTGGCGATACCACATGTTGGAAAGATTAGGGAGTCGATCAATTAGTTTTCAAACAGCCAGTCATGCAAGATAGTTTCAGAGCATGGGCATTGGGAGTATGCTATTTTACTGCTGTATATCCAACATTGGATTATGTTGTAGACTGCATCTGACATGCACTAAGAACGTATATCCGATGACAGTGGAGTAAAATATGGTCATTGTCTGACAGGTCGCTCATCTATGGCATGGCCTGTCCTAAACACGGGAGTTTGAAGGAGAGAAAGTTGTGACTGGTACCCAGGTACTTCAAGTAGGTGTGAGCTACAGATACCGTCTTTGGCCAAGATAGTCACCAGCCTCTTCCGCGATGTCCAACAATTAGCAACATTTCTCAGTTAGGAAATGATATTCATTCTTTAAAACAGAGGTGAAACACACATTTCCCAAGAAGAGAATGGTAAGCTTTTAAGATTACGACCACAGATAGGAAACTACTGTTGATCAGATCACACTTTGGTGAACGCCCTGGCGATGGGCCCGCGGATCTGAGTTCAAACATCGAAAGGGAGAGTTCAACATTTATTTTGTGTTGTATATACAAGAAAGAAATGAAGTCTACCGTTGCCAGATTTTTTTGGTGGTTACCTGCTGCGGTAGAGTGATATAGAGGTAAGTTAGAGCAGAGAGATTTCTGGGCTGTCCAGAAGTCTACATAAGTACTCTTGCTATGCCTTCTTGATGTCCTGGAGGTGCCTTGTAGACTGGCTACTCTGTTAATGCGACAAAAGCATTTTTGTACTCGCAAAAGCAGTACGTTTCTTTTCCATCGAATGCAGATTCTATGCAATATGGAGCCTCAGTTTACTACAGACGGTATAGTTATGTGATGTCTTTTCACTTAGATTGATGTCCGGGAGGTCTTTTGTACAGTATACATAAATTTTCGTGTCAACTAATAGGCGTAGTGAAGGGGCTGTTGGTAAATTTCTCCTTTAGAGGTTTTGATTCCTAAGTCTTGACCGATTGCCCTTCTGAGAATTGATCTGCTTGAAATGCAGTTCATGTTTACTTTACTAGCAACCAACATTTTTCGAAGTCTACCTATGTGTACGAAATGAAGTAAATCCAAATTTTGCACTATTTTTCAAGTGTTATACAAGTGCGAGAATAAGTAAGCAATAAAATACGAAGTAATTTCCTTTGGTATCCGCTAAAATAATATAACAGGAATTACAAACATAGGAAGTACCCTTGGTGGATTCAGTCAAACCTCGAGTACACTGCGCGGATAATATTGTCTACGACAGGAGCAATGATTTATCTAGTTGGCAGGAAGTGATCCTGCAGAACAGTACGCCGCCCCTCTCGTTGTAAGCAATTCTTCATTGTCAAAAGAGTAAGGACAAATCAACGTCCTTACTCTTTTGACAATGAAAAGGTGCAGGCCCATGTTGAGTTCCTCGTCCTATCGAAGAGCATGCAACTTCTGAATAATCATCATATGATTCAATATCCAATGCGATCAGACCACAACTCACGTAGGGTTGAGTGACATGACGTGTCGAACAATTGAAGAAACGATATCTTCATGCAATATCTAGCATCCTTGTTGCTGACTTCGTCCAATTTTGGTTGTTGTTTAGTAAATTGCCAATTGTTTCTTATCGACTGCATTAGCGGGTAAAATATTATGACAGTTTCATCGTAAATATCCCAGATTGTCCACCTCTACGATACTCCTTTTTGCTAGACGAGAGTCAATAGTGCAGCCAGAAATATCTGCTGCTAATACAACGTTGGTCCGACCTGCAGTGTGGCACGTTGTAGTCAAAGCATTAGTCTGACTGCTTTCTCTTGTGAGGATATAAATGGCTTTATTCGTCCAGTGGCAATCGAATGCCACTGGATGAATGAAGAATATTGCAGACATTATTGTGAAAAGGAGGTGTGCCAACGCCCATGGGAAGTAGAAGGTCGTCCCTTCTTCCATTCACCACGTCGTAAATCATGTGGGTTCAAACTTTGCTCTTTGTCATCCTGTCTCGTAGGGCTACTATGGTGGGGTTGTTTTGTTCAGCGACAAGGCCTACTGGAGGTTGAAAAGGAAGAAAAGGGAGGCTGTGTGCTCCGTGCTGCACTCCACTGCTCCATGGCCATGCTCTTGTCTTATGTCCTGTTGTTGTCATGAGTGATGAGGTTGGCTATCAAACTTGGAGCATGTTGTGTGCCGAAAAGACCTCCAGCCTCATGTTAAGTCATGTCTACAAATCAAAGGGAGGTGACAACCAGACGAAGATCCTCTCTCTTTGTTGGACGCACGATATCCCTTTTGGCTGCACGGACCGACAAATCCGAAAGATGTACTGAGTCTCGGCGACATGAACCGGCGGTTGCTCCATGCACCACCACAGTAGCATTCAAGGGCTATTCGGAGCCCCGTCGCGTATTATTGAGGTGCTTTGATAGTAGAATTTGAAGAATCCAGTACTTGCCGAGGAATTCACAAAGGAAGGAATACTGCCTTGTACTTGCATATGCATAAACTTGCAGTTGATTTCTAACACCGTGTTCTTATGATGTTCTTATGGTTGTCCCTCTACAGCTCGTTCAGCGACTCCACACACTTTAGATTTGCTGGAAGTAAGTAGCCTGCAGTTGTCACAAGGTAGTTCACGAGTGCTTCGCCATAGACGGAACTGGACTTGACTCGAATCTTAGCATGCAGCCTCCGTGCTCGAGGGATCTCCGTGTCCGACGGGTATATGCACAATTGGAAGGTTTCATGCTGAGAAAGCACGGAGATCATTGTCATGAATGTTAGTACAGTGTGCATTACTGCTCTCCTGCCATTAGGTGATATCAAGCACGCGTTGTGTACGAAATTCTGAAGCAGTAGCTGTGGACAGTGTATGATGCATGTCATGGAAGGAATTTAAGTTTATTTGTCTTTCAAAGGATGGTCCTTTTCTAACAAGAGCACGTGCGTCGACTGCAATGAATCTTGAATGGCGTCGATACATCCCCAGGCCGAAAGCTGCTTCAGTTAATACATACATTGGACACGCAAAAAACTCAACTGGAGCAATCCGGAGAAATCGATCATGATGGTCACATCAAAACAAGAAATTCAGTATCAAAGTGTCTGATATTCTGTGGGGTTTATTGGAATTCGAATTTAGAATTAGCTCATGCTTAGCAGCTGAGCTGTATATTGGAACTGGATCGTACTCGGTGCATGTTGAGCACAACACGTCAATACGGGCCCTCAGAACATCTTCAGAAGAAAACTGGTTAAAGATATTTAATCAGCAGCAATCCTGGCCAGTAACTGTGTACGAGTTTCTCGACGTTTCCAGCCATGGATGGCCACAAATACTCAAAACCCTGTCATTTTTCCAGAACCAGTAGCTCAAAGTCCAAACAAAAGACAGTCCCGGATTCCGTCCACGACGAGTGCAGGTCGGGAATTTACTTGCTGCTCCAATCTGTCGATACTGACCCTCCAAACGACCGGGAACATGCCAAAACTCAGTGCTCATATCGAATCAATAAAATGATTGCCGAAGTAAATGCTTACATATTCTCAGCAGTCAGTCATTGCAGGCAACACTGACAAAGCTGTTGTCGACACTGAGCCCACTTCTCACACACAGCTGTAGGGCACGTATGTGAGAATTGTCAACCGTCGTCCAGAGATGGCTTGAAGCAAAAGTCAGAGGCTTTGGAATTAAATCTGATCTGAATCAGATGCTCGCAAAGGAGTGAACGAGATTCAAGCTCCCGGACGATGGGCCGAGCTCATGATAATGCGTTTCCATGTCAAATCCCACTTGCAAACCACCATTGGAAACGTGCACTGCAGCCGCTTGTCGAAGTTGACTTGGAATAGCATGCACTTGCCTTCAATTCAACTTGGGGCAGCATTCGAGCCAAATTGACAAACGCTGTCAGTTGATGGATGCTGTACGTACAAGATCATTTGACTGTGATGGCGATGTCATCCGGTGAATGCAGGGGAATAAACTTTTAGAGAGAGAGAGAGAGAGAGAGAGAGAGATTTGAATCAGATGCATGTTCTCAGACGAAGGAAAATTCTCATGGTGTTCAGCGCATGTTTTCTCAGACGAAGGAGAATTCTGTTGGTGTTCAGCGCTGATTGATATCATGATTCGCTTCAAAATTTGAGTGGACCTCAGGGATGTGCGATTGCTGCAGCTGCAATTATGATGATTATTGTAAGAATTGTTCCCCCACTACTTGCCCATTGAGTGATGGTCATGATCTAGCCCATTCCGCTGCTCTCGCTGCTAAAGTCTTTCAAAGGTTTTTTCAACTCATAAGAGTTGCTGTTGTAGTAGCTTTGTGGATGGTAGAGTTCAAACTGCTCCCGACTTCCAAAATATCACGAGAAAGAGTCAAAATTCCAGCCATGCACTGCCATTTGAACCAGCACAGGGCTCATGATACTCCACTCAACTAAATCTGCAGTAGTCCCTAGTCTATCTCATATCTATTCCATATTGTCAGAAAATTTGTTGAACACTCATATTTCGGATGTCACCTGCATTCAGACTAAATTGACCTGCATTTGAATGGAAGGCCGGGGTTTTCGTAGCAGATGGAGCCTGAGACAAGGAATTCAGCTCGGGCTGCCTTGTGACAATCGGGGTCTCCTTTCCCGACTGCCAACGAAAAGATCCGTCTGATTCCCGCCCTTTTCAGCACTGTGGCCTTATGCCTATTAGATGAGCAGTATTATACAGGCAGCGCTGCAACTGTGCATTATATTCTATCATAAACATCAACCGAATTGCACCTTTCTGAACTTTTGACCTATGGTATGGTCGACAGGACTCAACCACATGAAACCGTAGTCCAAGATGTCGACAGCCTTCTTTTTTCTCGTTCCGAAGTCGCACGACTCATAAATCTTCACCAATTCCAAGACATCCAGTTGCACGAGTTCAGAGAACAGTTCCATGAAGAATAAACTCGCGGGAGCACCGAACGCATGATTCTGGATATAATAAACAAATGAAAGGCCCAGCAAGAGAGCACACTTCAGAATCTAGGATTTAATATTTCCACTTCCCTGTCTTGCTTATACGGAGGATTAGATATGGAGAATGAAGTAATAGTATACGGGCATTGGTGGTTTAGAGAAGGGCACGGCGAGTGTTGACCTTTCCCAGCGTCATCCGTCTCATAGTATCAGAATCATTGCGGACCAGATATCCATCATTCTCTCATATCCGCCATCCTTTTCTTCACCAGCCGTACTGAAGATAGTGCTGAACAGTGCCTTCCAAACTTCGCATTTGCTGACCTCGTCCAGTTCTGATTTCTGTTGAGAATTTTCCCAATCTCCGAAGCATTGGCAAAAAGTGGATCCTAGCTCAAATCTCCGAAGCTCAGTAGGTCGAGTACTGTTCAGTGCTCTTTTCCCTCCGGTGGGCAGACTCCACACAAAAAAAGAAGTCCCTGTCAAAGTGAAGCTTTCCTTCTCATTGTGGCTCACATAAGGAGCACTATCACCCCACCATATCACCACAACTCGGCTAATTCTAACAGCAGGGGAAACGAGAAGTCGAGATTCTTGACAACATGTGATCCAACTTTGGGGAGCAATGAGAATATCCAGTACCAAGCTCCCCAGGGGTGCTCGTGAAATTCTCCATGTCTCAACGACCGACTGCTTTAATCAGCTTGTATTCAAGGCTGCAGATTTCAAGGCTGGGTCTGGAAGCGAAGATAGCTCCCTTGAATGTTCTGTGCACTGGACGAGGTGCTGCCAGTGAGTTGAAAAGGTGCGGAGAAATGGCACTTCTTTTCTGGTAACTAGGTTCGTAGACCTATCATACTCTCACAGAGAAGCACTTTTTCTGACCTCGAGCATGGAGATGTTGCAAGCTGTTCGTTCTGTCATCCTTTTGACATCCTTCCCATTCGGTCAGCATGTCTGGCAGAGGAGCATTTATTCCCACAGCCGATAGAGCCTGTTCCTATCCCTGAGTTGGCCACTATTATATTATAATGGATTCTGAATCAACGCAGCGCTACTCTTTCGGGCTCTTCCACTGTTGCGACCATTGACACGGATCTCTCTTTACAGCACAAAGCAATCTGTTCCGCCACCTGATTCAGAAGTATTAAAGCATGAATCACGCAGGAAACCAGGCCAACCGTTTCGACAAGATCACTTGAGTCGACTCCTGATCATCGGCCATCCATGTGCATGAATGTCTTCCAATCTGTACGACATCCACCAGCTCGGTGACTCAGGGTATCATTTGATCCATTCGTATACGTTTCACATCCTGCAACTTGGAAGACGAACCTACTTCTGCAACAGTGTGTCTAAATGTTGACTGCGGAAATCGCCAGTTCAATTGCAACCAGGGACCACAGTTGCAGTAGTGGGAGGCTAAAATGTCATATTTACAACGTCCGAGGGTGCGATCATAGGACTGTTGAATTTTGTGTATGGGTAGGACAGGATCTGCACACTGAGGAGGAGCTCTGTAGGGCCACATACATGCAGGAATCAAAATTAAAAGCAGATGATGCCTGATGCTTCGCAGTGCCTTCGATGGTGGTGGTGGTGGTGAAGGGTCCCCATATGCACATGTAGTGCTGTTTTCCTTCATTCATCAGTCATCTGAAGTGGATCTGTATTCATGTGGGGTCTCGCCGGCCGAATAGGAAGAGAAGAAGACCTCGTAATGTTTAGATATTAAGGCTCATACAAAGACAGCAACCTGCTCTCCAAGACTTGTGCTAATGACAGCCACAGCCATCGACATTCACCAAACGGTGTAATGCGCTCTTGTTGCTGTCAGAGAATTGACTGACTGACTGACTGCCTGCCTGGCTGACTGTAAAACCCAAGGGACCAGAAACTCACTCACTCACTCTGCGAAATGAAATTACACGGAGCTTGATATAAGGTCGGTCGGTCCAAAGTACGTTTCGTTACAGGACGATCCCGTATCCTCCAATTTTGGAACCCCAGGTATAGAGAAGCCAGGCGTACGTACCAGTAGTTTCAGTATTACCTCGTCCCAGGTCTTGAAACTTGGCCCTTCGCTGTACGAATGATCAGAACAAAGAGGATGGGACAATCCGCCCTCTATCAACGAAGTATGAGGCAGATCCTCGACGTGAGAGAGAGCAGGTCAACGAGGATGATGTATTCTTCAGTACATGTGAAGTAAGAGAATGAAGTGGAACTATTCTATCAACACATCGTCCTCTTGGATCTCGTAGGTTGAAGTGATGGTCCATGTGGCCAATTGTGTGGTTGTTGCATGGAGGCACATCATTTGGAGTCAGCAACAGAATCTTGGGTTGTTGTACCAAGAGGAGATTAAGTTATCAATGATCTGCGGTTCTGTAAATGGTTGGTACTCGGATAAGAAAATCAGCATCTATCATGTGTACCATCACATCCTGGTGAAGTCTCTGACAGTTGGGATAGGCTGCAGTGCACGCCAACCTGAGAAACAAGTACATCAGACATGCACAGCAGCAGTGAAGGCGATTCGGATAACCGACAGCGTAGCGTGAGGCTGGGAATTGGCCTCTATCTGCATCCTGCAGTCTGATTGTCATCATCCCAGTGTTTGATACTGGAAGAAAGAACTCAAATGCGCTTGTTAGGAAGCAGAACTGTCACGGCGATCGAGTATGAAACTCGACAGAATTTGGTATGCGTTGACGCATGTCGCATACCCAAGCCAAATTACACCAGTCGCTATTGGCGATGGCAGGGGCTTAACATGACATGCATATGCCTGACTGTTGGTGCTCGACCTCTAGCTCTGTATCTATTATGCCTGGCTATGTAACCTCTGAGCTTTAGCAATATTATCTATCGAGTCCCAAACCTCGGTACGACAGAGTTGACGATACACTGATCGGCAACTCGTAGCTGCGTCTGTTAGTTGTCACGGAAAATCATGACTGTGAGGCAGATCGCAGATGGGCAGACCCTCTGATGTGCGCAACAAATGCATAGCACATCATTTGGCTGCTGTCTAGAATCTACTACGAACCGCAACAGACAGGAACCCATAATGATAAAGGAGGAAGGCATGGAAATTGTAGCCCACTTGCTGACCTTGTGCAAATATTCTAATACATCTCTGCCTCTCATGGCAGGTCAGTGAGACTACCTGTTGCTCCTCCTTTTTTGCGCCACAGGAGGCGCCGGAGCTAGGGCTACAGAGATGGTAGACTCTAGCAGTAGTTTTGTGATTAGATCCAACCCAAAAAAATGAGGCTGTCGAAACAGCCTTTTCACGAGCTTTTGTGGGATGAGATTGCAACCTTCCAGCCTCTACTGTCACACCACTCCAGGTAGCTTAGTGAGGAGAGGTCACAGTTTAATCCAGAGAAAACTTTCCATCAGAGACCCTAATGCTTAATTTACCAGACATAAGAAGGAATTTAACCAGACAAAGATCCAGATGCCAAATATATATAATACATTGCCCAAATGTATAGTGAATTGTTTATAATATACACTTAAGCTCGATCGGAGTTGGCTGTTGAGCCCTGGAGCCACGGCTTCAAGTGCAGCAGAGGCCGAGGCTGAGTAACCCACCGTTCGACAATCGAGACTCGACAGTCCACTGTGGTCGGGATCGGATCTTGCGATGTTGGAACCATCGGAGAATCCCTGTCTTGGTTCGACTTTTGAACCATGGCACCTTTCTTTACAGTATTCTACAGCACCGAGATAATTTCCAGAATATGTCACGATCACCGTAAGCGCATCTGTGCACCTGAACACCATGTCTCCTCATGTATTAAACTTCGTAGCTTCCGGGCCTTCCCTCCTCCTCTTCCTCGAGTAGACATGGTGGGAAGTTAAAGGTCTTGGAGTACATGCCTAATCGCATCATGGTGCCTAGAAACTATTAGCTCATTCTAGAAATCATTCGTTGCCATATTCATGGCTGTAGGAAAGCCATGAATATGGCATGGCTTCCGACACGGCTTTCCTACAGCCATGTCGGAAGCACTTGGTATTCAATTCTTGCATACCTGCATACTCTCGTAATGCCTCTACATGTCCCACTACGATGGACGCAATGGCTTCAATTGTGAACTGGAACGACAGTCCTGCCCGACGAAGCAACATGTCCATGCTATTTAGTTCCGAATAGAACATTTAGAACACAAATTGCTGGCTGAATGGAATGACATATGTCTTGATGCGAGCCGAGGACATCCTAAGTGGGGGAGTGGTCGGGCCAGCCATGCCCAGCTAGGGTTTGCAACTTAAGGATCCGAAACATTACATTTCTCGGTATGAGGTGGGAATATAGAGGACGTCCGATGCCAAACTCATTCACGGACCGGCCACTCGATCACCGAAAGGGCAAAAGTTGTAGTCGAACATGCTCACAGCACTAAGTAAGCAAGCCCAAGCCTCAATTTTGCTCGACACTCGAATCAAAAGGCATTCGTGACGTATACACTTCGTCCACATCCTCGAATCAATGTAAAATTTGGGGAGCTCTCTCCGTGTCATCCATAGTGCGAGGCCGCAGGTTCTCGCGCATTTGTTGGCACGACGGATTCTTGATCCATAGTTCGAGGATTTTCGGTACAACATGTCACAAGACTAAGACTAAGCTAGGAAGCATAAACCCTAAACCCTCATCCGATCCTAACCGCGGAGACCAATCTGTTTGACCTTCATAGTCATCAGATTTTCGCCATCCGTGAAATAAATTCCCGGGATCTCACGACTTTGGCCAAAAACTAAGTCGAGTGCTCGAGTCCTTCGATTCCCAAATCACAAAACGCAGTCTATCGTCGTGAATTCATGCTCGTGCGCCATCGCTGATCGATTCGAAGAGCGACTCTCATGACTTCTGGAAGCTTCTGTCATCACTCGTGGTAACTGTGAGAGTGGACGCGGTTACCGGACCTCCCCTCAACATCTTGCGAAGAGGTTGCATGGTCGTGGTCGTGGTCATGGTTATGGGTCCACATTATTCGTGGCAGAACACTCTAGCAATGAGAAAATTCGTTGAAAATTCGTTGAATGGAGGTTGGGAGTGTGGTGTCCTAGAACATTGTGACGCAGAAGTACTGTCGGAAGAGTTTCAATGGTTTTTGTTTGCTTATGTGTTTGCTCGAATGAGTTATCAGAACATAGATAAGAGATAGATGTTTTGGTGTGAGATCGAGAAGCTTTTTGATGCCTCGTAAAAATATGTGGCCAAGGTTTCTCGTCTACAAGGTGTAAAAATCTGAGCGTTCAAGCCGGTCATGAGCCCAATCATACTGAAGTTTTTCACTTCACAACACTTGATTTTTAGCATCTTATCAAGTCGAATTTGCGTTTTCTATGTCAAATCCAGATCAAGGTGATACTACTTTTTCTACGATATTCATAGAGATTTCATGCACATATACGACTATACTACAGATTGAACATCTTCCACAGAATATGGCATGATCATTACATATACAACTCATGAACCTCTCACACAACCTTACAATTTAAACAAGAATTATATTTATAAAGAATAGAAATGACATCCTTTTGCAATACATGCACTTGGCCAAAGTTGGTCAGTCCAATTCACTGGTATGCCTGTTTTATTGCTTTAGGTGTCTAACCAGCCTGAATGTTTCTGATGTGCGTTTATTTAGTGATGGGATTCGAGCACAGTACTGTACGCTGTCGAATATTCAATTGACCAAAGAGTGCTGAACATCGAAGGCCCGTCTCTCTCTTTCTCTGGCGAATTTTAATACATACGATAGACGATGGATGGCGGACCATATATTTATGCCGCAAGAGCATGTCAAAAGTGTGAAATGTGTGCGTGTAGCAGTGGTAACACATCACGCCATGCATCTCTAAATGGTGACTAAACTCGTACATTTATCGAAAGTAGTCATGGAGTTTCATATACCTGATGTGATATTGATTCAAAAAGAACAAGCGACATTCCTGAAATGTGGATTTATTTCAAATAGTGTAATGTAACCTTGCAATGACTAAAATCCATGTAGTTATGGACTTGTAGAATAATTAACCCCAACACGACTCGATGTTGCTTAGATTCCAAACTCTGTGAAGGATAAGATTCATGGGCCGTCGTGGGCAAGAACAATAATGCATCAGGGCCTCGCGTTGGGCAGTTGGAGCTTGAATGTCCAAACCGGTGCAAGAAAAGCTAATGGATGCTAAAGTTGTCCCCCGCATCTTCTTCATGATCGATCATGATTTGATGACTCGTTCTGATGATGGTTTGCGGATAGAGGGGTGAAAAAGCTCGAATGGAGCGCCGTCAAATAAGCCGTCAGATGTGGAGACAGGATGCGCCAGGGGACTGACTTGCATGCGATATAGCAAAGGCACAAAGCTGCAGAAAGAACAGAGTGCAAAGCTCAGCAGCAGGAGCTGCAGCCATCTCCGGGGCCAACGAGAGGGCAACAAATGGACCTAGAAGCTCCTCTCCTTTTGGAGAAGCCCTCGAGAATGCAATGCTGCAGCTCTCGTCGTTCTCATGTGCCAACACGTAAGGTCAAGCACGAGGAGGGAGGAATACTGAAGACAGAGACTTTGATTTTCCTTGACCCCATCCTCCATCATGAACCGAATTGGTCTCTATCCGTCAACGCAATTCCACAGTCGCTCACCCTGTGCACTTCTTGTCGTGCTGTGCAATCCATGGAGGATGAGAATCCAGAATCTGATTAGCGCAAGCTTTGATTTTGTGTCTCTCAGATGACATCCCATTCCCCATGATCGACTGATCTCTATCTGTCAACGCAGTTCCACAGTCGCTCACCGTGTGCACTTCTTGTCGTGCTGTGCGATCCATGGAGGATGAGAATCCAGAATCTGATTAGCGCAAGCTTTGATTTTGTGTCTCTTAGATGCCATCCCATCCCCCATGATCGACTGATCTCTATCTGTCAACGCAGTTTCACAGTTGCTCACCCTGTGCACAGCTTGTCGTGGTGTGCGTGCAATCCATGGAAGATGAGAATCCAGAATCTGATCAGTATCAAAGTACTTCAGAGGGACGAAGAGTAAGGACTGACTAATGTGACTGATTGATGTTCTTACTGGTCCCACACAAGCTGATGCCTGAGCTTGAGTTGTAAGGAAGGCAAGCCCGTGAGTCGTGAGGATGAGGAGCATGAGGAGGACGAGGAGGGGAGGTGAAATGATCTCAAGTTACGGAGCCAAACTTTCGCCTGGTCCAATGGGGCGAGCTTCCTGATCTGAATATAGCATGCATGGAAATAGCGAAAGAGTCTGAAGACCGGTTCATACAGAATAGCTCATGCAGGTAAAGGTAAAGTGCAGTGGATTGATCTCTATCCTCGGCTCGACTGATCATCGATCGTCGGGGGAGGAGGAATTTCTCTCTTGCAGCTTTCATGGTGTAGTGAGAATTACTCCTCCTCATCGTCGTTGTCGCTGCTGCTGCTGCGGTGGGTGGCAAAACTCTCGATAAGCTTCACCAGTGCTACTTCGATTTACTGAACAGAATCGAACGAGCTCACCGCACTTCTCGTGTGCAGATGCAGAGTGGTGCGAGGAAATGAAAAGCGCAGCGCCGGCTCCTTTTGGCGCCTGGCTTACGAGCATTCTTTTGACTCGCGCTCGTGTGCGCAAATGAGGCTGGCTCACTTGAAGCAGCGTCTCAAGTGTGACAACCAAAAGACGGGGAAAAGGTGCCCAACAACCTTTACCCTGTGCACCCCTCGCAGATGAATACTGCAGGAATCCCGGGAGCTCTGATTCGATTGGTGAAATGATTCACCGGGTGAGTCAGCGCTGTCACTCTGGCCTGTAAGAAGATAGATTGCTGCCGCTGGGACTCCAGTTCAGAGAGAATCGATCCATTTCATCCGACGAGCTCTGACGATTTCTGCCCGTGGTAGGTGAGCCAGACAAGCGTGGAGGCCATGAGCTCAGGGGTTTCTCCAGAGCCTGCATACGGAATAATATTGCGATCGACGACAGGACAAGAAAAGAGTAAACTTTCTCGCCCTTCGGAAAAGAGGAAATGTTTTTCACCCGTCCTATCCCGATTCTGGACAGGATTTGTGGGTGGCACGTCCCCCATGACGCAAACCTCGTCAGCGCCTGCGACTAGCGCATAGTCGGGTGGAATTCAAGCTTGGAGTTGACCAGACCGAAGCGGAGGTCACTCCAAATTCCTCCCACCTGATCCTACTCTCGATGCTCGCTTCACGGATCCAAAGCCTGTTTACAGTAATCTCTCCTGTAACTACTGATTCAGCAGCAGCAGCAGCAGCAGCAGCACTACTTACTCGAGTAAGTGGATATGGATTACCTTAGAGGCGACAGCGATGTCGGTAGACGTGAAGTTTCCAAGCATACTTAGAACTTTGAGCTGTGAAGGGTAAAAGTGGAATTAGTGCTCAAGAGTGTTCATGTTTTGAGTATGAGGACGAGAAATTGTTAACATATGCGATTTTCTCGTAGAAAGGAGGGGATGTGGTAGAAGATGGTAGATTCCCTCTAGGAATTGGCGTTTAGCAGAAGTCTAAACCGCATGATCCAAGCGAGCAGTCTCGCTTTTCCGAACCGATTCCAGTTTTAGCAGGAGGGGAAAATCTGGTGAGCTGGAAAAGAGGCCGACGGCGTCTCTCTTCTGGAGCAGCCTCTGCTTTTGTCTCCACGTTATTTACTGTGGTTTCTAATTTGGTTGCGACTGGAGGCCCGAGCCTTTTCCTCCTTCCTCCAATCTATCTCTCGCCTCTTTCATCCTGTCTTCACTTTTCTGCTTACGGCCTAACCTTCGCCTATTCCCCAACACAAGGCCCACCCACAAAATCGCGGATCTCGTACGATGTAATCATAACTGGAAACCACGGAAGCAACGATAAACAAACCAGATCTCCCCCTGGACCTGAGCTGAGCTGCTTTTGGATCTGTCATCTCTACGAGCTGCTTGCTTTCAGTGGACTCTCACTGAACTTGGCCTCCCCTCCAGCTCTGCGATGCTTCACAGTAAAATGGGGGCAAAGTGGATCTATAAGGCAATTCCATGGAAAGAGTGCAGCTGATTCTAGCACTATGGTTTCCCCAGCACCTCTAGGTCTGGGAATCGGAAAGGGAAAGGGAAAGGGAAAGAGAAAGAAAGAGAGAACATTTGATCAAAGGCTCTCTAGAGTAGTGTGGCAGGAAGGGAGGGGTGACTGCAGTAGCATGCCGAGAGGGGCATGTGGCTACAGAGTAGCAAGGATCGAGACAATCAGAGGAAGGCTCGATCGATCGATCTGGTGTGGGGAGAAGAGTGACGCACGGACGAGGATTCGGGTCATGAGTTCTGTCTACTTCAGTGGGGGTGTGTAGGCAATGCATGGGTCGAGTTTCGTGTCCGAGTGGGCGAGAAATTCCTGATTTGCTCTACAAGTAGTGGAGCTAGAGATTGTGTCGATAGAGACCGATCGACTGATTGACGTCGTGTCCGAGCGACCATTGCGTTGTGATCGTGTCGTGTTCGAATGTGCGTTGCCATGGCTGTTTGAATGATTGATACGATCGGAAAATGGACCGTATGCTACTGGTGACGCCTAACAAATCGACGAATTCGCAGAATTACAAAGCCTTCTCACACAATCTCACAGATTTTCCCGCTGCTGCAGATGGACAAACGCTCATGGCCAGGTTCCCTACTCATCGAATCAACAGCAGCGAAGATCAATGTCTCCCTCGATCACTCTTACCTCCAAACCCCACCTCCAAAGGGTAAAATCTCTGATCACCTCCTCTCCTGCCCTGCCCTGCCCTACTCGCTGACAACTCTGTACTCTCGATCGGTCCAATTCTGAGACAGAGTGCTCTCTCTCTCGCTCTCTGGAAGGTGAAATTCGGAAGCAAACTGCCAAAAAGAAACACCGAATCGAACTCCTCGTCGCCTGAGGGAGGCTGTGGCGAGGGGAGCTGGAGACGTCCTGTGCACGGACGACTGTCCATAAACGTGCCTCTGCGACTTCTGGCGGTCGGTCTCGCGACATGATTTTCTTCTGACTCGCTTTTCTCGTCGCTCAGGTTTGGCCCTCGGAAGGACGGAGCCCCTTTCCTCTGCTGCCCCGAGCTGGTGCGCCGTACAAGAACCGTAACTGGAACCGGAGCCGCGCTATTCTCTTGTCAGTCCAGCCTCCTCCCTTCCTTCGACCCCGAGGCCGCGTCGTCCTCCCAACGTCTCGCTGGCTGGGGCTGGGGCTGGGGCTGGGGCTTGGGGGAACTGCCTCAGCCCAGCCCGGCCATGCCCCGCCCGGCCCGCTCTGTCCACAACCCCCCACGCCACGTTGCCCAAGTAGCCGTTGATTGCCAGGGCCATCGCGGACTGGCGTGGTGCTTCTTGTGCTCTCATCTTCGTCACAATCGATGGTTACCGATGCAAACAAACAAACCCTCGGAACGGACTCTGCGACCCCTTCCTCCTTCGATCTCTGTCTCTGACTCGGACTCTGTCTCCATGTGCCCACAGACAGACAGACAGCGGGAAGATGAAATTCCGGGGGATGGTGGAACGCCAAATGACACTGATCCTATTCTATCCTATTCCTCATGTGTCTAACGAGATGGACTGCTCGTACATGCACATCCGCAGGCATCATGAACATGTTCACTTTCTGAACGAACAGTTGGTGCATTTAATAGATCGCTCGCTCGCCTGCAGAACGGTAACGAGACATGCATCCATACACACATAGAGCACCTTCACTTTCCAAACGAATAGTTGGAGGATTTGCTCGGTCTCTTACCTGCAGAACGGTAACGAGACCCACATCCTTCCTTCCTTCCTTCATTCATTCCTTCCTCCATGACGAGTGTGAGCAAGCACCAGGTATCTGGACCGTGGACCACAGCTCAACAATAGTTTCCGTCTTGCAGCGTCGTGTCGAGCTCAGGTCTGCCTCATGCTGTACTCGGGGCGGGCGTGTTCAGCCTCAGCCTCACCTCACCCCCGCCCCCCACCCCCGTCGCTGCCATGGCCTCCCTCATGCGAGAGGGGGTCACCCAACCCTACCAAGACAGAGAGAGGGGGGCCTGGTGTCTTCTTGCCCTGTATCTGATCTGATTGGCAGACAAACAAGGCATCCAGAGTAGTGAAAAATAGTTTAGTCAGTCTGCAGCTCCAAACCTTCTCTGCCTCCCTCCCTCGCTAAGTGCTCTCTCTCTCTCTCTCTCTCTCTCTCTCTCTCTGTCTGTTTTGGAGGTCCGTCAGGTCACTAGGCTACCAGACACGCAAGCGGCCTGACTGACTTGACTGGCTGTCGAGAGTATGCTCTCAGAACCGTATCTTGGGACTAGAATATTCAGAAAGCGCGCGCAGTCAGTGACGTCCACCGAACGACTGATCAATGAATCGAACTCTGAACGCACGAGACGAATTGATACGAGACGAGGAGAGATGAGATGGTGGAAAGGACCTGAATAATTTTGGAACTGGAAACCTTTTATAATAATAGGCGGCCCGAAGGCTCATTATAATTGTTGGATTGATGATGGTACATGGACAATGGAAATGAGTAAATGATACAAGTGGACACGTCCAACATGGCCCCGCAAACTCCCGACTACAATCTATCTCCCGATCTTTCTGTTTATCAATCTATCTCTCGATCGATCTGTGTGTGCATCGGTCGATCTCTCTAACCGCCAGCACCAAACAATGGTCTTCAAGTGGCAACTATGACAAGGAGGCACCAAGCCTCTCGCTCTCTCTCTATCTACTGGAAGGGGACGCTTCAAACTGCTGCTGCTGCGATGGTATCGTCGTTGAATTTATCGTCGCCCATGTACGCGAGCATGTCCAGAGAACATGGGCGACTGCAGGCAGGCAGGCAGGCAGTGGGCTGGAATACTGTCGTTCGATCTGAGGTTAATGGTGGTTCATTTAAATTGGGGAGCACTGACTCCGCTGCCCACATCTGGAACGCGAGAGTCGAGTCTCACGAATGGTGGTGTGCAGCAACAACGCTGCATGCGCGTCGGGAAGGCGGAGCAGGCCGATTTCTGGTTCGGAAATTACATCACAATGTGCGGCACAACTGAATTTCCACCGCACCCTTCAGCTTTAAGCACATACAAGCACGAAGCGCTATCGTAATTCGCAGACTGCGGGGGCTGGGGCTGGGGCTGGGACTGCTGCCGGTCGCTGCAGTCTCCGCCTCGAAGCCCACCTTCCGTCGCTGTGGGGAGAAGCATGGCTGCAGAAGCCCCCGCCTCCCCCCTAAGCCCCCACCCAAGCCCGCCCGCAGCCGCGAATGAAAAGGGTAGAAAAGCAGAAGATGACTTCACCGAATCTTCACTTCAGACTAGAATTACAAGCTCGATCGGGACGTGGCGCAGACAGACATCGCCGGTGGTCAAAACTGCCTCCTGCAGACTCGATCGTCGGGCCGGACGGAAGCCCATTGTGGCGTCTGATTCTTCATGCTTCGTGGTGGTGGTCGTCGATGGGTAGTAGCCCCTTGGGCCTCGGCCCCGATCTCGCGCGGTCAAAATTGGGCTCAGAATCGCCATCTGAGCGGGCTGGCGGCGAGGGGCGAGGCCGTGGAGACGTCGCTCTGGAAGCCGTCGTCCTTGGGCGCCAGGTACCAGACCTTGACGAGGCGGTCGAGGCCGCCGCTGTAGACGAGCACGCCTTCGTGCACCGCCTCCATGGAGGCCACGACGGCCTTGACGGGGCCCTTGTGGCCCTCGAGCACGGCGATGCACGAGTGCGAATTGTCGCGCCCCCGGCGCCAGACGCGAATGGTCTTATCGGCCGACCCCGTGACGACGATGTTGCCCACGGTGGCTAAGCACAGCACAGCCTGCCGGTGCCCCCGCAGAACCCCCGCCATGGTCATGTGCTCGTCGCTTCCCCCCTTGGCGCGCTCCCACACCGCGACCGTCTTGTCGCTCGAGGCTGAGTACAGCACCTTCTCGTCGGGGCTAAAGGCCAGCGCGTTCACGCTCGATTTGTGCCCCTTGAGCGTCGACAGCAGCGAGTGCTTCTTGCCCCCAACCTTGCCCCACACCTTGACGGTCGCGTCCGCCGACCCCGTGTACAGGTAGCCACCTTGGTCCGCTGCAAGCGCGCTCACCGCGTCGTCGTGCGCGACGATCGACTCCACGCACCGGAAGTCCGACGTGCGCCACACCTTGACGGTCTTGTCCCACGACCCCGAGTAGAGCACATTGCCCGCGCCACGCGCCAGCACGGAGATAGTGTCGTTGTGTTGGATCCAGAGGCTCTTCTTGTGACGGCGCACCTGCACGTAGTTCTTCGGGGGCACGCAGCGCAGCAGGTAGTCCTTCATGGTGGGCAGCGTCGCGGCCAGCTTCGGCTCCGGGCGCGCGCCGGGGGCTTGCGCTTGCGCTTGCCCGGCCTTCCAGACGCGGATCTTCATGTCCTGGTGGGCGCTGAAGAGGAGCCCCCCGCTGGACAGAAGCGCCTTCACGGCGCCCTCGCCCGTGCCGAACGAGCAAACCTCCTGCAGGTCGGGCTGGCGCCAGACGCGGATGTCGGACCCGTCTGAGCCCCCGGAGTAGATCAGCCCCCCGACCACCGCCAGCGACCCGACGGCGCCCGAGTGGCCCGCCAGCGTCGCGATGCAGCGCGCGCAGCCATCGTCGGGCCCGTAGCCCGGTCCGGACTCGGAGCTGCGCCTCGAGCTCTCGCCCGTCGTCCACGACTCGGCGCTGAAGGCCGAGTCCGTGCTGGACTGACTGACGAGCACCATCCTCGCACTCGGCTTCTCGATGATCCTTTTTGCAGCTGCAGCTGCTGCCGATGTCGACTGGTTCGACGACTGACTGACGCTATGAATCGATTCTTACGAGGCGAAATTCGGTTTCGTTGATTCGACGGGGTGAATTGATGTCCTCACTCGTGGCCGACGACGCTGCTGGATCTCCCGAGCGAGAATGGCGACGTGGGAGACAGCAGCGGGCTGTGGAATTTGAATTGCAGGGAATGCGGGGGCGGTTCTCTGATCGGCAGGAAGAGATTGAAGCTGGACACGAGAAGCTGTAGAACCATAGGGAACCGGAGGAACACGGCGGCCGGACGTGCGAACCCTCAGCGCTGGACTCGGCCTCGTGTTATAGACTCATAGAGCTCGAGCAAATGCCTCGACCCGATCGATCCCCTCCCGATTGCGCTATCTTCCGCTTTGTCTGGTCTGCCTCTCTCGAGCCCCGGGCACTTTTCGCCTTTTCGACGCGATCGATCTCTGACGCACCTCGTTCTCCCAATCTCCCTCTCTAGCTGATGAATGATGCTTGGGCTGGCTGCTGTATCCGATGTCTGCTCGCTGTCATTCCATTCCAAAATCCACACTGATCTGCGCGAGCCGATTTATAGGTACCGCAAGCACCGAGTCCGCCCGCTTTCGCGGCAGCGTCCAAGTGGCGATGCGTCACCACGACCACGAGCCTCGCGAATTGCCCACGGAATCGATCGCTCGACCTGCAGCAGCAGCAGCACCCTCTCGAGCGGCCTTGCGTACGTGGAGCGAATTGAACTGCCGACCTCGGAGCACAAGCAACTGTTGGCCGGTGCTAGTGATAGTGATAGTAGTGGTAGTAGTAGTGCTTCGCTACGTGCTCTCACTATTACTGTTCGCCTGAAGAAGGGCTTGTGAGTGGTGGTGGTGCTTCTTCTTCGGCTGCTCGAGTAAAGGGGGGCAGACCCGACCGAACGCACGCCCGCCGGTGCCAGATGGCCGACGCTGAAGCAAATTTCGTGGCCAACAAGCGAATCACTCGAAGACTCTCTCTCTCTCTCTTTTGCGGCCTTCGCCGCGTTTTTTTCTCCTCTCTCTTTCTACAAGCACCCGCACAAGCCCGTCGTCTCGTACTCCTGCAGCCCCTTTGCTTTGTGTTGCGTTGCTTCGAGCGAACGGCAACAGTGGCAAGGCAGATCGTGATCGCGTTGTGTTGCTGCGGGTGGCGATTGGGCTGGACGCACTGCGCCTCGCTCTCTCTCTCTCTCTCTCTCTCCCACACACACAAGCCCGCGTCGGCGCTGGGGGCTAGGCCAGCGGGGGTTGGGGGGCGGGGCAGTGGTGCTGGTAGAAGCGGTAGTGGTAGTAGTAGTAGTAGTAGTGTACAGCGGCTCTGGGCGAGATCGCAAGGAGAGCGGGGGCTCTTTAAGTTTGTGTCTCGACGAGGCCCCGGCGCTGGAATTTGAAGAAGCGCTCGCGTCCTCGGCAAGGGGCTGCGGCTGCGCTGCTTGCCCCGGGCCCACCATCGCCAGTGCTGCCACTTCCCCAGTTCTGGTCGCTTCTCGGTACAGTGACCATGCAAATAAAGTTTCGCCGTTGCGATGCGGTTCGCGATGTTCGCGAACTGGGGACTGGGGACTGGGGACTGGTGACTGGGTCCGGTGCTGACTCCGGCCCGGTCATCGGATACGTTCGGCATGTCGGACCTTCGGACGCGGGTTCCTGCTGGTTTCTCCGGTTCAGTCAGCCGGTCCGTTGGTCAGTCAGCACGGAACGGGCAAATTCTCGGGGGAAAAGGTTCCTATCCGGTCATCGGATACGTTCGGCCTGTCAGACGCTCGGTCACGCGGTCACCGCTGGCTCACTCGGTTCGGCGAGCTGGTCCGTAGCTCAGTCCGCCTGGAACGGGCAGATTCTCGGGGAATCTTATTGTATCGCGATTCGGGTTTTGTTTGACGTCCCTTTCCAATCTGTCAGCCACGGTTCCTTCCGCGCCACTGCCCCTGCCCTCGAGACTCTTCTTTTCCCGATCAGGAAATGGAGAAGCTCTGGGGGCAAAAGAGGACGACGACGCCGTTTCCTTCCGGGAATGTCTTCACCCAACGGTTTGTTCTCAAGGGCCCCGGGGGCTAGCTGTTGCTGTTGGAGCCGAATAAAATAAAATTGCCCCCGAAAGGTGGCAAAAAAGAAAAGAAGGAACTGTCACCCAATCGAATGAATTTTCCCTTTTTTTCCATCCTTTTGGGAAAGGACGGCGCTGCGGTCATGGAAGTGAGGGAGTGGGGAGGAAGGGACTCAAACAGCCGAGCTCACTCACTCTCTCACTGACTGTCTGACTGACTTTCGACCGAAGAAAGAAGAATTCCTTGAAGCCAAAGCTGCCAACAGCTCTCTCCAGTTCGTGATGACGCAAACTACTTAAAACGGCTGTAAAAAGCTCTTAATGGGGGGTGATCATGGTGCCCAAAGTTTTCTCGCCCATTCGGAATGCAAAAGGTAAAGTCCAAAAGATGAATCGCATTTCCTTTCACCCTTCGGATCGGGCCCGTCAACCAAAACAACCCAAAGGATGGGCGAGTAGTGAGCGGATGAAGCCCAACGGGTAACCCTGGGGCTAGCTAGCCCTCACCCCAGGTGATCGGGGCTAGCCCCCTTTAGCCTCCGGAGATATTCTGAATATCGAGATAAATCTGTCTACAAACAAACAAGGAGAATATTATCGGAGGAATCATCATCTAATGTGGTCGCTGTCGAATGGATGGGGTTAAAAGCATCCTAAGGGCCTTTAGTAGAGGCTAGTAATTTGTTTTCTTTTCGAGGGTCATTCATGCAGATGAACGAGAATGTTCTGCTTTGTGCTCCGGGATGATGGTCAGACAATATTCGGGAACAGAAATGGATGACGTTTGGGATCAATGGAGGGGGTGATTTTAATCACCACTTGGCTTCGACTAGCGAATATTTGGAAGAAATATCTTCGAGGGTATTTTCCTTCCTATAGATGTATTTGGATCACATGAAATTCAGTTCGGATTCATAGGTTTCATGGAACAGCCCAAGGTTTTGAAACATTCAAGGGATGGAGCTAAGTTTTGTGTGCAGGTGGTTAGTTGGTGGTAATTGCCCTTTCATCATTTGGGCAGTTGAGTGCGATTCTCGACCATCTCCTGGTGTCAGCCACGCATGAACCACTCTTGGAAGGGGCAAGTGCACTCAAATTCAAGGACGAAGACACCTCCCAAAGCTTGTCCAAGTAATTTGTGTCGTGGTAGCAGGTGTTAAACTCACTTGCACGAATATTGACCGGTATCTTCATCCCAAGAGATGCTGGAAAGCAACATTGCCAGCACTCCCTCGTCGATGGTGGCGGTAGGTTTTGTTTGAGTTCTTTCCTAACTCACTGCTCAGGAATTGATGGACCGAAGGAATGAATGAATGAATGTGAATGTACTGTTGATGAGGTCGGGACAATTTAGGAGTCCATGTGGCCTTTCGAGATGGTATATTATGAGAAAATCTGGCTGCTGAATCTAAATCTGCGACAAATGATTTCAAGTAGGTAACTTGCTCACTTCAAAACGTGTCTTTCCTTCACAGAAGAAAGGATTACGGACTCCAAAATATGCGCAAAATACTTTATTTTAGCAGAATGAATTTGGTGATTGATGCTGATAACTTTGGACAAGAACGTGGTTTGAGAGGGTTTGTCAAGAATGAACGAGTAAGCTGGAAAATATCCAATGAACAGGGTTGGGAAGCCTGTTACTGGAAGTCGCGTGTTCATTTTGGATCCAATCTTCGATACTTCATAAATCTGGGCTTCATCTTAATTTGAAACTAACAAGTGTCCAGAGCCTGTGGTAGGATCTTGAATTTCCAATATACTGTTGATGATGACTAAGATGGCTGAATCTTAACTACAATAGCTTAAAAACGAAAAGGTGCATGTATTATTCTTACATTTATAAGATTATCTAAAAAAAATAATACTTCATTGTGTGTTTGTGTGTGTGTTTATTGATTCTTAATGTGAGACACTTATATACACTTCAGAGTAAAGATTAATTTAAACTAGAACTCCATGTGTGAATGTTTGAAAGACTCTTCACTCTCATATTATCTCTCGTTATGATGGTTCATACTTCGGACTCTTGTTTAGAAGATACACGTGGATTTTCTTGCTCCTATTCCTCCAAAGAATCCACTATAGCATGGTCAAAACATTTATGATGCTTGTATAATATGAATACATATAGGTGAAAAAAAATGCTCAATAATGTACTCATTTTGGTGGAGGGTATCATACAATTATTTCAATTATATATCGTTGAAATGAATGCTTGTCGCCTAAAACCGGCAAGTTGATGTTACAACCATGCAAAGCTATTGAATACTTACATTCAAAACTGCAGTCAACCCACTTATTTATTCATCGAGAGAAAACGATAGATTGTTTACGTGTGAAGAACGTCGCCTCACATTAAAGTTACCACTAAAATTTGAGGCAACCTTCTTCACACAAGATAAGTGATATATCATTGAAGGCTTCAGACCTTCAATGCGGAATCACATCGCATCACCTCGGTCAAAAGAATTCAACAACTGGAGCAAGTGGAGTGAGATCACTCCACTTACTAATGCAAAAGCAAAAGCAAGAGAAGAAATGGAGTCGAGGCATTCTCACTTGACAAAAGCTCACACGAGTGAAAACTTATTCAGATGATAAGAATGAACCATCGAATGTTGGGCACTGGTTGAAGAAGTACAGCTCCTCTTCTTCTTCATCATCATCTTATTCTTGTTCATGTTGACTTTCGATTTTCCTCTTTATATCTGCCGTCGTAGAAAAACCAAATCTCCCCCAGTCTCCCGACCTCAATGCGCGTTACAAATCCGCAGATTGCGGCTCAGTGGTCGTCCATCATCGTCAGGAGGATCTCTCCCTCCCTCCCTCTCTCAGCCTGCCAGACAGAGCTGCCAGACGAATTATGAGAAACACGCAAAAGCAAACTGGTATCTGCGCTAATGCACCGTTGACTCGAGGGCAGCTGAGCCCCTAAACATGACACAGCTCGTTAACATGTGCAGATTATTGTTCCCCGGTACGACAGCAGGCGGGAGGGGCCGGGAGGTGGAGAGCGTTTGCGGGCGTGGTGTGCTGTGGGGGCAAGAGCCCGCTAGCATTAGCAGCGAGCTGCTCGAGTTGACCTGCAGAAGTTGATGTCATTGATTACAGAGAGCCATGGACAACAGAGATCTGGCACCCGCTCCACTGCCTCGGTCTCCCAGAGAACGCGCAGTGGGCTGAGGACACTACGGACTCTATTTCCAGCTTACGGTCCGACTGACTGACACCAGTTCACCATGGCTGACTGTGTTTGAGTAATGCTCGAAAGCAGAGACACATCGGCTAATATGACAACGAGCTAAAAATGAATCTTCTCCAGGAGCTCGATCGAATTCGTCAGCTTGACTTTAATTGTTCCATCTGGAAGTGCAAAATAGAAAATCGACGACAAATCAGAAACCTGCATCATTCGTCTAAAAATGCCCGCAAAGCACTTTGTTGTGACACTTTTAGCCCCAACTTCCTTGTCGAGTTTGGTCACAAAACCACGAGCTACCCCTCCGTCATTGGCTCCGCATTCATGGAGGGCATGGGCTGGGCGTCATCTTAGATGACCGCCAAATTGGAAGAATATCATGTTTGGCCTCCGAGGTCTACAAGGAGAATTTCGGGGGTGTCATCAGCTAGCAACATCGACATTGGTTAGCATCGTGGCATAGAATCAGGTTCAAATGGATGTGTCCTCGATCGATGGCTACGAGGTTGTGCATGCTTGAGATATTGCTCCAGGTTATATTCCAAGCGTTGGAGATGGACTCCCATGGCTTTCCAAATGTAAGGGAAACATTCATTAACAGTTAATAATCATTTACCTCCAACTTACTGCGTCGACGAAACAACATTTTGGAGGGTGTGGATGTGGTTCTGCAGAAAGAAGATGACGCATGGTCGAGTTTACAAGAGTAGCCGGCAATCATGAACCCCTGAGTGCCTTAAGAACCGTCGAATATCCTCAGACATTCGTGAGGCTTGTGAATATAGTACTGAGATGATGCAGACGATCTCTTTCTCTGATTTTCTTCTTTTCGTAATGTGCCAATGCGAGGATCGGAATTTTGCAAACAGCAAGGGAAGCAAGAGTATGGAAATGTACCACAGTAGGTTCCATAGTCATCATGGTATCTAAAGCCTTGAGCAACTGCAAGCTATGATGATGATGATACACTTCAACGTCGTTGTCTTTGCAAGTGGGCGTGGTCCGAAGGCATGTGAGTTTCGAACTACGTTGGTGCTCGTCTCTCATCGTCACTGCCTCGACCAAGTTTCGTCCATTGCTGTTTTCTCCCTCTGGTGGCCCTTTTCCCT